GATTTAATACCACATTCATTCACCACCTGATGGGCAGAAGCCTTTTCTCACATGAAATCTTTCAGGAATCAGCTGTACTTTGAAGAAAATGTAAAGAATCTGTGAATCACAGAGATTAGTTGGTCTGCTGTGGTGTTACACTGGCTACAGAATTCCAGGGTCAGTTTGTTTTTCTTATCCCACTAACCAATAATTTACATGTGAAATTCTTGTTGCAGAGGCCCTGCTCCAGGAGTGCTCCAGTCTGGACTGGTAAAGAGCCTCCCTGAGTCTCCATCCCTACTCAAAATGCACAAGTCACATAATTTAATTTCTTGCTACATTTTTTCACTGAATGCCTGAGCCTGCAGCATTTGGACAAAGCTGCTGCACATCTGGCCCTGGTACCTGAGCGCTCCCTGAGTGGCTCCTTATCAGCTGCTGGCAGGGAATGGGGGGTTGGTGCCATGGCTGTGTCCTGATGTTGGGAAGTGCAGCCCCCACCTGTGACACCTGGGCATCTGCCAATGGCTGAGCCCACCTTCGGGCAGCACTGGGAGGGGCATGGCAGCATGGATCACACACGGACCCACTTGCATTTTGTGGGATATTCCTTGTTGGAAAGCCTGGCTGTGCAAGGTAATTCTCTGCTTGTCTGGAAGGGAGGGAAAGGGCTGGCACTAATGTCTCCCCTCCCTTTTACCACTGTAGATCAACAGGAATGGCTTCAATTCTTACAAGTGCCTTTGCAAGCTGAGAGTAAGAAGTCGTCTTTCCAGGGAAATTGCAGGTAAGGCTGGAGCTGCTGGGTGAGGCTGAACTGAGAAGAACCGTGTCTGCACACAGGAGTGAGGTGAGAGCTGCTGGGACAGGGAGCTTACCCTGGGTCAGGTAACTCCTGACTCCAGACTCAGTCAGTCCTACAGCTGAGCTGTCATAGCCAGTGACTCCAGGGGAAGATGGTAAGGCTCCGTGGAAAAACCCAAAATGCAGAAATGAAGCCAAAGTTATTGGTTAATTATTTTTTTCAGTTTTAATAATCCAATATCTCCTGTGACTGTACACTGAGATGTCTCTTCAAACAATTTCATGTGTGTAAAGACATCAAGTTCTTGCCCATAAGAATTTCATGCCAATGTTTGTGGCAGCAGTGTTGAAGGGAAGGGAAGCTCTTGAGAGGGTACATAATGTTTATCTTTCCAAGCACCTTCCATGTTCCATTAGAGCAGTTGTTTGCTCGTGGCTTGATGAAGAAAGGCAGAAAGAAGAGGAATCAAGTCCAGTGAAGGGATACAGAAATCAGTTTGGCTAAATACAGAACTGTAAAAAGCCAGGGGAGAACCTCTGGAACAGAAGCTGCCGGTCTGGAGTTCCCTGTATCTGTTTTCCTGAGGTCTGCACCTTTGGATTTGGCATTTGAGTAAATGCCCCCCCAGCTGCCCCCAGCCCCATGGATTAGGAGGCACTCTTGGCTCACCTGGTGTGGACAGTTTATTGTACTGCCCGGTGTGCACTTCCTCAGCTTTAGGGAATCTCTTGATTAATCTGTGCCCAAGTGTGTGAGACAGAGCTTGGCTCACGAGGGTACAGTGCAGGTGGATATCAGCTGCAGCTCATGGTCAGGAGGTGATCACCGTCTCCCCCAGAAAGGCTGATTCTGTTTCACCCTCCAGGGGTTTATTTTTGGTAATAAATGGAGCATGTGCTGCTCTGTAGTGCTATTTTTTTCTCTCTTCTTTTTGAGATGTAGTATTGAGCATTTCAACAGCACTTAATGATGTGATCGTTATTTAAGAGCTTAGCAACTACAGAAATTGTCATCTGCCACCTCTTTAAGCAGACAAACCATTTCAGGCCATGTCCGACAAATGCCAGATCTTACATGTAAGACACTGTAGGGTACGGCAAAAGCTCAGCTGCCCTTGTGCTTGGATTCTGCTTGTCTTAACAAGGAGAGGAAGGTTTTAATCCAAATAATCCTCACTAATGAGCTCAGGCTACAGTTAGAGGTTCCTCAGTTCTGCATTTTCCTTTGCTAATGTATCACAAATTTCTAGAGAGGAATGCGGTGTTCTCACCTGGAGATGCCAGGAAGCCTCTGCCAGATTCTCAGACATTGCACTGGGACACACAAGCCCTGAAGCAGTGATACCAAGCTGTTTTCTTCTCACCTGTCCCTACAAATGTCATGATCTTACTAAAAGCTAGAGGACTTCTAAAAAGGAAAATTTTCTATGGGCTTTGAGCTCAAGTTGGTTTGCACAAGAACTTACTTCAAGGCCTTGACTGAACCTAAAATGTTCCTGTCCTTCAAAAGGGAGTTACATAAATCAAGATGCTGTCTACTCCCATGCTGGTTTTCCTTATTCTCTTCTTGGCTCTGCAAAACATGTGTTCTCCAGTTTACTGAAAGGAGAAAAACTGCATTTTCTTTCAGCTGTACAAGGCAGCAAGGCAGGGCTCTGCATCTTCCCCTGACCACCAGGAAAGAAGAAAGMTTTCTGGCACCCCATTAGGAACACCCAGAGTCGTGATGTTCCCAGTGGTTCATACAGCAGTGTGCAGGGCCGGGTTTCATTTGTTACTTTTCTGGCACACTCTCGTTCTCTGTTGGCTGGATCAGCAGTATTTAGCAATTGTTCCTTGCTTACGTGGAAATAGTTCTTGGATTAGAATTCAGTCTCTCTGTGCAGTTAATTTGTTGAACTGTGTGGTAAACGAAATGTTATTTTGCTCTTAATCATTGTTAACAGAAACATAACCATGATCAAACTCTCTTGGATATACATACAATTTTCAATATAATGTACAACAAAAGGCATTGTATTAAAAATTCGTATTGAGTGTCAATGGTTTTAGTTGCAATCTATAAAATTACACTTAATGAGTCCCATAATGTTTCACTTACCAGTGTCTCTGACTGTTACAAATGCTGAACCAGGAACTGCCAAAGGAATATTGCACTGACAATAATAATAATAATAATAATAATAATAATAATAATAATAATAATAATAATAATAATAATAATAATAATAATAATAATAATAATAATAATGTAATAATAATAAAAGTGTTCATCGCAGTTGTTCCACATAATCCTCCATAACTTGCTGTTTCCAAGTTTGTAATCCTTTGATGCTTATTTGGCTACAAAATGAAAGCCTTGTCTCCAGATAATGAAGGAAAGGAAGGTTGTCCTGGGCCATTTGAAACCTAAGAATATTTGATTCTTTCATTGTTTACAGCTAGACTTGAAAAGGATCAAAAAGATTTTTGCAGGATCAGCTTAGTGTAAAGGCTTCTTTCTGCCTTGTAGCACAGGCAGTGACCATAAAGAAGGTATTATCTTTAGGAATCAGTTACACAGCCATTAAAGCAAACTAGAGATTATTTCATACAACAGGAGCAGGGAGTGGAGAGCTTTTTCAATATGGAAATAGCTTTGGATGTATAAACCAGAAAGCTTAAATTTACCAAAAAAAACTAAGTTCTCTGTTTACTGAAAACTTCAGTTTTTTCATACTCTTCTACACCTGTTCTGGAAATCAACAGACACCCAGATTGCCATTAATGACTGCACTTGATTTCCTTCAGGAAGCCATACCTAATTATCCAAATGGAACTCTTAAGGCACAACGGAGTAAAATAGATTGGAAACATTTTCAGCTGAGTTTCTCCATTTGGATTAACTCCATTGGAATGAAATTTCCCTGCTCTTAGGACCTGAAGTGAGTGTTTTAACATACAGAAATGAAGAAGAATTCCACCAAAAAGGCTTCTAACAATCCTTACTATATTTTGTCGTTTTCAAAGGTGCATCAGCACAAAGCAGCAGGATATACAAGCAGCTAAACCCAGAATATCCAACGCTATTGAGAAAAGAGCATTTGGATCCCACATGGAAGAACACAAGAGACAGTGGCTTATTAGGAATGGTGAGTCCTGTTTCTGATGGATTCGTGTCTGCTCAGATGAACTGAAGCCAAGATTGAAACAAGGACAAGGTTAAGGCACTCGATACATAATTTGAAAGGAATTCAGACCTACTCTGTTGGCTTTTAACTGGGACTCACTTAGTGAGAGAAGCTTATATTTCCTGATCAGACCCCAGAATCAGGGATGTGTTCTACCTGAGTCAGTGGCCTTGGGAAAGGTAAGCAAGATGTCAGCAGAGTTGGGGGTTACACCAAGACCAAGAGAACCTCCTGATCCAGGGAAGGGGGCAGAACTTGTGCTGAGCTCAGGGTCAGCTTGGTAGGGAGATTCACATGTGGGATCTTGTTGTGAGCAAAATGTGCTTTTGGTAAGGAAATTCAACTTCAATCACAATTGAAAGTGGGCTTTCCAATGACAAAAGCATTTGAAGAATTAAGATCAGAGAAGAGAGAAATCAGAGATCCAGTCCAAGGCTAGGACCAGGTTCTGTGGGAAGGAAATAGAAAGGATTTCCTAATGATCATAAGCAGCCACCTGAACTGCAGTTTTAAATATGAAGGACAGAAAACACCTCTTCTATAGTGGGGGAAGAGAAAATCTCCATCTAAACCAGTGAATCCTGTCCATTCCTGATGGACATAGATCTTTAAGGTCTTACACTAAAAAGCAACAGGAGAATGGAAAGATAATCTCCCGAGCTCTGTTATATATGGAAAAAAAGCTACTAAAAAGGCCTCTTATCCTGATAATTGCTATCAAAAATCCTGTGTATTAACAGGATATGAAGTGCTAGAAAATCTTCACTGTGTTTTTTTCACTGCTCATTTGATAGCTCTCAAAATACTCTGACTTGGCAAAGGGTGGAAAAGTCACGATCTCACAAATTGCTTCCAAAAAAAAAAAAGAAAAAGTGATTTATGACAGATTCTGCTTGCTTCTATTTACAGAGAATCCTGCAGCTAAGGGAAATTGATATTGGCACTGATACCTTCAAAAATGCTACCAAGGGTGAAAAGGAGCCAACAACAGCACAGCTACAAGAAGGTGTAATTAGAACTGGCTGCAAGGTGGATATGTAAATGTGTGTATTCTGTATCACAACCACTCACAGTGATGCAAAACATTTGAAGGAAAAATTATTGTTGCTACTGAGAATATTTTTCTCAACTTCTTTACACAAACCTGTGTAATTCACAAAATAATTTACAAATTATTATAAAAATCCTGCAAAAGCTGTGCTGTACTGTTACATGGAAACACCAATTTCTGTTTGTTGCTAAAGATAGGCAAGAGAGCTTCTGACAGATGCTCTTTGACAGATGTCGAAGTACAACATGTTCAGCAGAGACTTTCACCTGCCTCTGGTTTGCAGACTGAGAAGTACAAATCATGTGTGACATGTCATCAGCTGATAAAGCGCAGGACAAGATGTTTACTCCCATTTTGTTGTGGGGTTTTTTTTTCTGGTTTATTCTTTTAGTATGAGAGTTACTACTTTTGTAACAATAATGTTTGCTAAGTAAACTATTATGCTTCTTAGCTGCACATTTTTCTCTGTTAAAGACATTTATTTTCTTGAACTTTTATTTCCTCTTCTAAACACTGACTTCCCATTTAAACATGAGCTTATATACCAAGATTTTTACCTTAATAAATACATACATATTTATATTATATATTGGTTTGTGCCCTTCTAGCTTACATGCATGGCTGTAATTTTTAAAACATTGTTACTAAGCTGGAAGTTTTTTTGCCTTAAGAACACAATGATACAAGACATTAAGACAGTTAAGTGTGACCATGATACATGTTGCAATTTGATTTCAGAAGGAAGCATGAGAAGGAGGAACACTGAGCTGATAAATTGCTCTTATCTTATTAGTCTTTCATAAATGCTTTTTTTCAGCTGTTTTGCAGACGCTTGATCTTTAGTAGAACGACTCCTTTATTTCAGCTAGAACAAATAATGGCTTTCCCTTTTAACTGGGATTATGTTATTACAATCTGTCTGGTTCCTCACTTGTGTCAAAATGCTCCTCCAAATAATTTGGACATGGAAACTGCTTATTCCATGTATGGAACCGAAACATAGGTTGATGTGCATGACTGAAGCTATAAGATAGTGGGTTTATGCCACAATCCACAACAATCTTTTCAGATTCTGCCATGGATAATGACAATACTCACACCAAAGTTCCTCCTGAAGGGGAAAAAAAAATTCTAATATGTGATGTCTAAGCATGTGAGACATATGCCTGCACACTTACCTTTCCAAAACACAGCAGGCCCTAATATGACACTCAGCCTTTCCAAAACCAAGGTTGCACAAACCCTTYTGGGTTATCGGGAACTGACAGTAATTCTGGCAGCCAACACCGCCCTCCAGTGTGGGTTGTGTTAACTTCATTTTGCAATGGCTTCCTTCTTCAGGGTTAATAAATGCATTTGGGGTGCATTGCTGAATGTGTTATCCCATGACTGAATTTATTTTAAGATAAATATTTCCTTTATTTTAAGAAAATAATTTTTAAAGCTGTTGTTTATCCGCTGTTACTCTCCTTTCTATGAACTACTCCAAAAATATAAAAACGTGTAAATATTTATTATTGGATTTATCATTTATGTTTACTTTATGTTGTGTTTAGTATTTTTCAGAAGTTCTACTGACCCACTGGATCACCTTGGATCACCTTCACAGGTATGTTGTGGATTTGCATTCTGCAGTTATATTTCTATATACAACAGACATAATGGAAGTCAATATTATTTCACTACTGTCTCTGCAGATTTCTGATAGTTCATATGGTCTATATACATACATAGAAAAAGATGACACTATCAGACCAAAAATTCCCTCCAACAGCCTCAGAGCATGAGGAACTGTTACCCTCTAACCCCACAACTCATCTAGTAATCAACACACCACTTGTATGTTGTGTGGTCATTTAGACCTCAATCTTATTTAGAAATAACTGGTTTATTACAAGCATAGCTGGTTTCAGTTTATCACTGAATTTTTTATCGTTCATCTGAATTTCAATTCCAAATTGCATTCAAAGATGGCATTAATGCTAACACGAAGTTAGGATGCTCAATATTCCCTATCACCAAGTTGCAGAAAGGTTTATTTAACCCCATATTCTCAGCATGTTTATTAACATTTTGAACAACAATTAGAGTTTGCATTTCATCAGGAAAAGAAGGGATGGAGGGCTGTGAGCTTGTCTGTGTGTCTGTCTGTATTTTGCACTGTAGAGAATAATTTCCAGTCCCTAATGTGTATATACAATTCCTGCTCAAAACTGTCCATCTCAGGGACTGCTTTTTGAATAATTTGTGCAAGCACTTCACTGCTCTGCTGTCTAAACACCTTGTCATATGGAACATCTTTTACTATAAACAAATATATGTTTTTCCAGATTAAGACACTTCCCAGAATTATTCAAAGAAACAGTGTTGRAAAGGTGCTGTAATTCTTTATCAAAACATCCCACAGAGGTGACTGGAATGCCCATTCCAATCAAGAGGAAAGGTAGGCAGATACTGAGATTGCACCATCAGTAGTCCTGAGAACAAGGAATGATCCATTGGTTCCAAGCACTACCCCACAGCTGGTTTGTGATGCTGCACTTGCACCCACGTTCCCAAACTACCTCCTCTGCTTCAAGAAGTGGTGCAAACCCCCCAGTTCTGGTGCCCATCCCCACGCTGAGCTCCCTGGTTTGTATTTCATCTGATCTGTGAGTAAATAAATTCCGACGGAACTGCAGCTYGGCTTGGCTTCTCGTCAACCCCCTGCTGGAACCAGCAGTTGTTCCCAGTGTTTCCCTTGCAGCAATAGGGGAGGTTTTGTGCCAGGCAACTGCAACTGCCAGTGTCAGGGGTCAGCTCCACAGCCTCTCGTCTTTGTCACCAGCTGCCACAGCTGGCTGGCATCCATTTATTCTATTCTCTCAGTTTACAGTCAGCTTGAGGCTTTTCTGCCACACAAATGTTGCTTCCCCCTGTGACCTCAGTAACCTTTACTTGAAACGATCTCTATTGTTAAACCTGAGGTAGTTTAGCTGTGCCCTGGGCACTGGCTCAGTTTCTGTCCCCTTCCACCACCCTTGTGTAGGTACACACACTTGTCAGATGCCGTCACGTGGTAGGACACGCTTCACAATTTCCATTCTGCACCGACACGGCCCCAGTCCTGATCCCTGGGATACCCCCTTGGTTTCCAGCTGGACCCTGTGCTGCTGATCCCATCCCTCTGAGGTCAGTGGCTCAGCTGCTTCTCAATCCACTTTCTCAGTTTGTATTTCACCAGCTCATCCATGAGGATGCTGTGGGAGATGCTTTTAYCTAAGGTTGAGGTAAAAAACAYTCACTGCTCTGCTCTCCTCTGCCAAGCCAGACATTACCTTGGAAAAGGCTGATGGATTGGTGAAGGTTGGCTTATCATAAATCCTGGCTGACTACCAGTCCTCAGGAACCAACCCCATCACTTTAACACTCAAAGATTACTGAAAACTGTCCCCTAGCCACCCTTCACACAACAGTAGGAGCATTTCTCTTCTGGATTTATTAGTTGTGGGTTCTTCATTCCTCATTTTTTAAGGAGGCTATAATAGCAGCATAGAAARCAATCCCCATTTCTAATTTTTCACAAATAAACCTTGTCACTGGAGCACCAGGAGAATAAATTCTAATTTACGGATTACTAGTGCCAAGGTGGTAATGACAAGCCACGAAAGAGTGTAAGGCAATCACATTTAYATGACTCCATCTGGGAGATGCAAAAGCTCAGTGTCTACTTCAGCAAAGACCAGGAAACACAAACATGTTGCCATTGTTCTCCATTCACCCTAAGGAAAAGACCTAAAGGAAAAATGCTGGTTTTGTTCTTGACCATTCTCCACAGACATTTTCTGACTTGAAATCTGAGACCAGTTCCCTGATCAGGATCTTCCAGTGTGATCTTACTGCTCCAAATAGTTCCAGTGGATAGCTAGAAACTTACAGAAAAATGAACATTCAGAGACATTCAGGAATGATGATAGAAGTACCTCACAGGACAATGTTGTAAGAATTTTAGTGAAACTGGGGTTATACTATTGTATAGTTTTGTGTCTCTTGCACAAATGAATAAAAAAAGAAGTTAATTCGTAAGCCTTCTGTCCCTCTGTTTTTCCTCAGGAAATTCTAAATCTCCAATCTGATAAATCACTTCTCCCTTCAGTTCTTTTCAAATAAAAGTGCTGAAGTCCTATTACACTTTCCTAGGCCTCGGGGTACTTTAAAAAAAAAAAGCCTGGGAGAGCAGCAAGCCTGCAGTGAGCCTCTGGGGAGGCAGTTTATGGCAAAAGAAGAAACATTGTACTACAGATCCAGTTGGAGAGCCCTGAAGTGGGCTGTTCTTCTCTTAGAAATATTTTTTTCTTTCCTCCCACTCCCACTTTAGTCTATCTTTGCATAATCTCTTTTATTTTGTTCAAAATCTCTTTTATTTTGTTCAAGTGAAGCAGCAGCAAGAAATTTCCCCCGCTCTTTTTTTTTTTTTTTTTTTTTAATTTTTTTTTTTTTTTTTTTTTTTTTTTTTTTTTTTTTTATTGAGAAGAACTGCTGGTACTCAGCCTCTGGTGGGAAAAAGCCCAGGCCGAGCAGAGTCCTGGCTCCCTTCTCCCACATTATTCACTCTGCTGCAGTTAGAAGCCAATGCACGCTAATTGCTGTGATCTCCCCATTTGGCTTTTAACTTAAATAGCCATCTGTAGGAGAATCTCAGCTGCTTTCAGCCGCCAGAAGCACTTGAAAACAGCAGCCCCTAACATTGTTTAATTTTTACTTTGAGGTCATGAAAGAGACCACTAACTGTTTCAATGAAACTCCATAGGATGGGCTTTGGCTGGATGATTTGTTTCTGCTTTAGGATTTAATTTGAACAATATGGACTTTTCCCCATTAGCATAAAATAAATCAGCACTTTGCACCAGTTTCCCACGCATCACTTTCCACAGGCTGCCAGCATTAGGATCATGTGGGCAGATGACAAGCACTCAAACTACTTACATCTATTACAGTCCACTGGGCACATCAGCTCCTGGTTTTGATCACTCTTTATGTTGTGTATCACTGTTACTTGCTTCCCACAGTCACCAGGTCTAACATACACACAGGCCTTGTAATTCAGCCGCACAGCAGATTTAGGCAGTCRTAAATTCAAATCAAGTAGCAAATGTTGGAATAATAGAAGACATTTTTCCTCAGTAAGGCAGTTATTTGAAATATACCATAGCTCCACTTGTAGGATTTCAAGGAGATCAAGTATCAGAGCTCATATTTTCCTTCCCCAGCTTTCCATATTCATGTTACCTCATAAAATGCTGCTTTATATAGTAATGATTTTATTCCTTGAGTATAATTGAGATAAGTTTGAGATTTACTGAGCTAGAGTCCAGGTATGGCACTTCATCTTCAAAATCACATGGGATGAAACAAATTATCCACGTGAATGAAGGGAAGGCATTGAGCTAGCTGGAAAGAACAGGGTATTTTTCCATGAAAGATGTTGGGGCTTCTCTTTCCCCACTCCACCACTCCTGCCTTACCACGCTGTGCTGTAGGGGACATCTCCACACCGCTCCAAAGCTGCCCCATCCCTTTTCCTGGCAGCTCTCCAGGCTCCGTGTTGCCTTCACCCCTGCCCCACAGCCACGCTCTGCTTTCTGTGAGCTTTCTGTGTTTGTCCACACAGCACCCTCACCCTCAGCAGAACCAGCAGCACCCAGTTCTGCGCCAAAGGGGCAGACACAGAGGAAGGGGATTCCTGCTGAAGCAGCAAGAACAAGAGCATCCCTGCAGCCAGTCCCACGCTTCCTGCTCGGTACATTTCCTCCTGTGCAAAGCAAAGCTAAGTGGGTACACTTGGGTTTTAGTTGTGTGACCATGAGTTCTGAGTATCACTTAAGAATAATCCCATTTTCTGGAGTTTTTTTGTAAGGCAGGTATTTCTTAAACTATTGATGAGTTAAGACATGGTATACAAAGGTTTGGGGGAGATTTACAAGTAAAAAAAGAAGAAAGTTWAAAYTACTCAGAAACTAGGGCACAGGCAGGAAAAGCATGGGATTCCTGGGTCTGGGTCCAACAGAGTTGGTGATCTTCTGGGTGTGTCTGTTGCAGAGTTTCTACAAACAGTTCTGCAAACTACAGCAGAGGTCCCAAATATTTACAAAACATTTAGAAAYATTCAGCTTTTTGCACCAAATGAAAATATGGATCCTACCCATGGTCAGGGCTTTACCTTCACATTTCTAAGATTGTCTTTTCAGATCTAGCTATTTCCAGTCTAAATTAATCTGCAGTGCTTCTTGTCCAGACCAGTCTGTACATTGTAAACTCAGATGCCAGTTGTAGCTATGAAAAAAAGATTGGACTTGCTGAAGAAAGAAGTCGAATATGTATCTAAATASCACAACAAAACAAATTGCAGATGCTTCCCTGAAAATCATGTCGATTAGAGATGCACATTTTTTGCTAAACACTTCATATTTCAATTGGCAACTCTAAGCCAAATTACTTTGCCTAACCCCAGAACAACACATACACAGAGGCACAAAAATTTCATGCAGAAACATTTTTTGAAAATGAGGGGATCTTTTTCTTAAGACTCTACATGAATAGACTAAACATTTCTAGATTTTTTTAAATATA